TAGGGCAGAATTGTAGTCAGACCTAGTGACCATGATCCCGAGATATTGGAGGTGATCACAGAAAATGCTAAAGGCTTGGGTGGGATATAGGAGAGAGGATTTGGGTGGAACTGAAGAAAATCCTTACAGGTAACCACGTAAACCTTTTGATTCACCTCCTCTACGATCTTGATGTGGCACTTACGCAGGCTTACCTGCCGACGCGGTCTGGAAGAGTTTGACAGGTCAGTGGAAACGTGAAAGGCTTTTCACCAAAGCCACTGAGTCTCCTGGCCTCGCTATTCAGAACACAGGGTGACATGACAAAGTTGGATGAGGTTGGAAGATTTCAAAAGAAGAGAAAAATCTTGGCTTATTTCTGGTTAAAAACAGGAAGGACTTAGTGAAAGCGGCAGATAGCCCGGACCCCTGAAGCCCACTCAGGACTTTATTATAGATGTAAGTAGAAATGCACGTCGGCTTCACCGCTAGAACAAGTGCATTTGGGCTTTACTTGTTTTGATCAAAAAAATTCAGAGTGAGGATCGTCCAGATGTGAGGGTAAAATCTTAAGCAAGTGTTCCGACATGTGACGAGACTTAACGTGTGTCTGGCACTTAGTCTAGGGAGCCTGTCACCATGGCCCATGTGTGTGGACGGCTCAAGTACCAAGGCGAGCACTGTCTGCTATGGGAACTGCAGCGGTCAGTCCCCCCGTTGCGTGTCAGTGACCACGACATCGGGAAAGGGGGCATTTCTTCGGGAAGGGAGATCAGGGCTCTGCTGCAACAGTTATGTGAACAGTGGGGAAAAAGTGGCTACCCGATGGAGAAAGAGGAACTTCTCAGTCACATACAGGAGACGGAAATCTGATGAGGAAGCCGCTGCTGGAAAGTGGTCGGTAAAACGGGTTTTATTCCGTTTCCCTCCTGATGAAATTGAAGAGAGGACAGCAGCTTCGGATCTGGTTTACAGTATATCTTGACAAAATTATTTTGTGAAATTGTGCTTCGGGCACTAAAAGGAAGTCTACCTCCTCCTAGTCTACTGTGCCTTAGAATTCTTTTGGAAAAGTAGGGTCCATTTGTCGCCAGACGGTAATAATCTCAACACCTGGTGATTGCCTCCAACAGAAAAATGTTCATGTCTGCTGAGGAGAAAGCTGGGCTGGCTTGTACAGCGATGGCCTCTGATAGGTTTCAGGTCTTATAAGAGATCCAAAATTAATGCTAACCAGTGCCTGGGAATACTCGACAATTGGATTAAAACTCCTGTATAAAAGTGTAAGTGGGGTGGCACCCACATAGCGACATGTATTTTACCGTGGAAGTGATATTTTTCTGTCAGAAGATGTCCTAATCCTGTGCATGCTTGAGTCTGATATTTTAACCAAATATTTCCTTTTGCTTTGGTGGCACACACACAAAAGTGGGGTGACTTACAGAATCACCTGCAAGACTGAAAAAGATCAGGAGAATGGGTGGAAATGAGGAAGGCTGTGTGGCCAGGGCCACAGTCAACAGGACACTGGGCACTGGCTATCCATCTTGTACCACTGACGCCATCACCATCATCTCTGCTACGGCTGCTGCCTGGAAACAGGAGAAGACCCGTCTGCTGTAGTTGTGGCCATCACAATGAATTCTCCATCATCTCTGCCTTTTTTCCTTATTAGCTTTCAATTTACTGTCTGAGTCAGGTGTGTCTGATTGACAGCCTAAGTCCAGTGCCCAATTCCTAGCTGCAAGGGAGGCTGGGAAAGTGAACATGCTGGTGACTTATCTACTGACCTCAGCTCCAAGCCCAACCTTCCGTATTCTTTTTCGTGATGCTGGGAGCGGAACTCAGCCCACTAGGTTTCTCCTTATCTTTTCCTAGTTGGCTTCAAGCTGGACTCAGAATGGAAGCCACTGAGAGGACAGTGATAGGTGAAATAAGGGGACAACGGCTTTCATCCATCCGGTTTCTGGCTCCTACCAATTTCTATCTAGCAGCAGAAAACTGTTACACCTACAGTCTCTGGATTCTTCTGGCACTCTCCAAATCAGCTGAACTGCAAATCCTCCCTCTACCCCCACCAAAGTTAGTACCAGCTAACTGCGCCTCCCCACCCAGTGGGGCAAGTACCATTCAGCCCTCAGAGGTCTGAACACCAGGTGCAGCACAGGAGAGGAAACAGCTCCAGCCCCATAGCTGCTGCCTCTCTGTCCTCGCCAGAGGTGTCAGCCAGCCGCACCCGGGTCCCTTCTATTAACTCTAGCTTCTCCCAATAATAATCTCGTATTCTCCTAAATCTAGGAGTGAGGGGTGACTCAGCTTCTCCTTTTTCCTTTCACCCTCCCGGGACTCCTTCAACCAGTTCTCCGTGTTGACCCCTCCCTGTTTGGAATGCTGGTGTGGGTTCCGTGTTCCTTACTGGACCCCGACGGACAGCCTGGCCCTTTCAGCTCTATACTGAAATACTCCCCCCCCTCCCCGGAGGGAATCCTTCAACTGCAGGAATGAGACGCAGATGATGAATATTAAAAAGCAAGATGACAAACAGCCCTGGTTTCCAGATTCCGGTTGCGGGATCTGGCAACACCTGGCCATGTTTCAGACCCGGATTTTAGTTCCCGTTTGCCACCAATGTTCTGTGTGGTCACGGACAAGTCCATTTCCCACTAGAAATTGCCCTGGGGCTGGTGGAGCTCTCCAGGCCTCTCAGCTCAGGATGCCTTGGACCTCCATCTGGGCTTCCCCTCGGCATTTCTGATTTTGGAGGCAGCTCTGAGGAGAGAAGGAGGAGAGGGAGATGAGGGGCCTGGTCTGCACTGTACTTTGGGAAACACCTACAGGGTCCACTTGACATATCTTCTGTGGTCTAAAGGGAAAAGTGACACCCCAACAGTCAGCACTGAGAACCGGACCCTCTAGCTCCACTGAGGCGTCCCTTTTAGCAGGTGTTCTGAGTTCACCCCTGAGCAGAACAGGTGAGCAGATACCATCAGCCCCGAGACGCTCTGGCCATTTTGAAGGGCCTCTTTGGTTCACAGGCTCCCGGGACAGAGCAGTTTATTCTAGTCATTCATGTGTGTCAACTCCAATCGGGGACTGGAGGGTGCTCAGGTGCTTATCAGATTTGGCAGAATTCCTCTGCTGTCACAGGTTTTGAACTTCTAAGTCCCTTTTAACATCACCAGCCCACCGCCTTCAACCCAGATGGGAAATGTGTTCCTCCACCCTACCCAGTCTGGGCCCGCCTCTCGGGACAGCAATTTAGCAGATCTGAAGGCTCCACATCTTGAACCCCTCCCTCTCCTAGGTGGCTCTCGTGTGTTGTTTTCTAATGGCATTTTCAGAAATCGTTAATCATTGACTATGGTGGCGCTTCTGCATCACACTGGGAAACTGTCCCCTTTACTGAAGCCGCAGAAAACAAGTCCTTGAGCCCTTTTAGAGACAGATGGCCATGAGATGGATGGAGCTCAAGCCTCGGAGTTCCTCACTTGAGCAAGCCTCTTCTAAGATTCCGAGGGTGGCTCTCGCTATCCACTGACATTGTCAAATGATTGGTGACATCATGCTGGCCATCACCAGCCAGGCTGCCTTACCTGCCCACTCTGACTCGTGTCACACTTCTCCTGGCCAGGTGGTGTTGGAATGGCTGCAGAGTACTCCCATTGTTCCCCGTGTCAATTCCCCTTGATGCCATGACACTATGTCCTGGGACTTTGAGGTGGCATCTTGGTATGAATGTACCTGGCCCTAGAAGGCTGTGAGTTGAGGAGGAGAAACAAATTTTGACATGTATTGAGCCAGAAAAACAAGTCTCTGGAAAATTCTCCCAAATATCAGGTGCATAAAATTACAAATAGGAAAAAAAAACAGTTTTTATGGAAGGCTGTTCAGAAGTTCTTTACTGGTAAGAGCATCCTTGCTAATTCTGTATTCTATCATGAATATTTTCTTTAATTTTTAAAATATTTATTTGTAGTTGGACACTATGGCTTTATTTTATTTATTTATTTTTATGTGGTGCTGAGGATGGAACCTGGGCCTCACACGTGCTAGGCAAATGCTCTACGGCTGAGCCCCAACCCCAGCCCATGGATATTTTCTTTTTTGATGGGATTACACAAACAAGAATTTATTAAAATTCTTGTGTTTTTAGCACCCAAGCTTGTAAATATTAAGGGTGTGTCAGCCTAGCACAGGGTCTATGCATCCCAACTATCATCCAAATAAAAACACAAAACCATGTTTGATCAGTCGTGTTGAATGAAAGACGGACTTATCTTTCCATGCTCTCTCTAGAAATTGGGTTTTGTTAAAGAAATTGATGTCAGGAAGGTAAAACATTAATAAACAATTAATTTCTATGGATTCTGTGCAGTTTGTGGTATTTTTAAAATTTGCAATTGTTTGTGAGTTCCTTTCCCTGTGAATAATCTCCTCTTTTGCATTTCACTTATATTTGGCTTTTTAAGGACTCCTAGTTTATCAGTTTTAGATCATACAAAACCCAGATCTTCTCAGGCTCTCTGCTTAAGCATCTCAGGGCCATTTTACCAGGTAGCTGCGTCACAGAGTTCTCAGTTTTTCAGATTTTCATTCTCTTCTCTCCTTTTGATGTTACTGGAAAAACCCCCCAAACCTTTTGTTCTCTGAAACTGCGTATACGGAGAGATGAGTATACGTGAAGACCTGCAGGTTGCAATGGAATCATTCAGACCAGGCTACGGGGTCTCAGACACTTTAATAGGGGAAACTGGAGGCTTCATAGGAATAATTGGGGATCCTGAAAGTTGAAGAAATAGGGTCTCACACTGAGGAAGGCCCAAAGGGTGAAGGCCATCATGTTTGAAGAGAAGCCGAGGAGAGAAAAGGGAGTGAGCAAGTCCTGGGGTTCAGTTTTTGGAGCAGCCAACACCGGGGTGGCTGAAGGTGACAGTGGAAGCCAATGTGAAGCATGGGTCAGGCCCACGTGGAGACTCTTGCAAAGCAAACCCCAAAGGTGGCTTCAGCTCCTCCTCCTCCTGTCAGAAATTCGAGTCTGCAAGACAGCAGAAGAAAGGGCGGGATGCTTGGAAACGGGAAAGAGGAGCGGGGTCACTTTTACATCTTTTGGCAGGAAGTGAAACCAAAGCGAGTTGAGGTTGGGGACCCACAGAGTGGATCGGGTGCTCTGATTTGCCCAGCAGAGTCCCAGTTTATCATGTTGTCACAGAGTGATACAATAGTAATGGCAACCCTAAGTGTTCCCAAGGTGTCTCGTGTGGACAAGAAAGGACCTCAGGTTGCCGTGGCCTTCAACCATCTCTTGAAGGAAAAGAAGTAGTGAGGGGTTTTGATGAGAAGTGGCCCTGCCATGACTGGGTCAGGAATGACGCCCAGTGCTTGGTGGCCTTCTCTCTGTCTCCGCCCCCTTTCCCACTTCATCATGCCAACTCTCTCTGCCTACAGGCTTCCTTCCTAACCTCTTTTTCTCAAATCTCCTTTTTACTTACCCTCCCACAAGACGTGCCCTTATCTCCTGATCGGCCCTGGTTCTGTCAGCCCCGGGCCTGCGGCAGCCTTGGAAAGGACCAGCACCCACATCTCTCAGGTGCTCGGTGGAGCGTGGGAGTCTGAGACGCCCCCCACCCCCACCCCGAGGACTTACAACTTTTTTGGCAGACGACCATGCAGATAGCCTCACTTTGGAAGTTGTTGTTGTTCCCTTGGCAACCACCGTAGATGAACCTGGAGCAGAGCTCGGTCTCTTTGTTATACCACCAGCGCGGGAGGTAGGCCATGCAGGGCCCCACCTCCTTCGGCAGGCTGCAGATGTCTGCAGGGAGATCACGTAGCACAGCAGTGAGGATGCTGGTCTCCTGGGCAAGGTCCACCTCCCTGCCTCCGGCCACTGCTCTCTTTGTCCCTACTGTGAGGCATATTTATCTCGGGACTTGGCTCCCAATTCAGTGTAAACCTTGGCCGCTTGCTTTAACCTCTCTGGTTCTTGGCTTCCTGTACGTCCACAGAAATCAGTTTAAAAGGATACTGTGGGTAGAGGCCGAGAGATCAGTGGAGGGAAGGGGAAAAGGTGGGGAAAGGGAAGGAGAGGAGAGGCACTGGGGTCTGAACTAGAACAGGACATGTTCCTGGCTTGTATAGTTATATCAAATGGATTCTACTGTCATGATCATCAAAAAGAACCAATAAACTAGTGATAACAGAACATGGGAATACAAAACGCCGCCCTGCTCATCTTACAGGGCTGTGGTAGGAGCAGATGTGACAAGGCCACATGGACCCTTCTGCTGTGCCTCCTCCACATCTGAGCAACGAAGAGCTCCGGGGTTTTGAGAGTAAATAGCATCCCTTTCTCTCCCTTTCTACCATTTTATTAATTCAAACACCATTATCTTTTTCCAGGACTGTCCTGAAAGGCTACTGACTGATCTGCGCATTTCTCCCATCTACTCCACACGGTGTCCAGAGAACTGACCCACAGGGATGGGGACAAAGTTCTACCCAGAAGGACTCCAGAACCCATTTCCTGGGCTGGGATACAGCTGAGGGGCAGAGGGCCTGCCTTGCTGGCATGAGCCCTGGGTTTGATCCCCTGCACCCGACCCCCCAAAAAGAAGTGTCTCTCAGACCCTCTTTTTGGCTTTATCTCATTGCTGCCCCTCACACTCACCCCTTCTAACTTCCTGCTCTAAGAACAGCATGGTCTTATCCACCTCTGCCTTTGCCCTGCTCAAGTATCCATCCCCCTCTCACCAACTAGACGCACTCCTATTTATCCTTCAAAACCCTTCCAGGCATCAGATCTTTGTGATGCCCTTCCTCAATTCATTCTTTATTCCTTGCTTTTTATTTTATTGCTTCTAAATCTTGCACATTTATCACTTTTGTGACACACATTTATCACTTCAGTGTAATTGTTTATTCACATTTTCTGACTCCTCTATGAAAATGTAAGGTTTTCTAGAGTGGGTATTGTGTCTTATGCCAGCTCGGTACAGCCGTTCTAGCAGATTTGGCATAGAGAGGATGTTTCAGGAGTATTCACAGTCTAAACAAATGTATCCTGAATATAAAGAAGCTTTTATTTTTTTTGGGGGGGTGGGTAATGGGAACTGACCTCAGGGGCACTTGGCCACTGAGCCACATCCCCATCAGGGTCTCACTCAGTTGCTTAGTGCCTCGATAAATTGCCGAGCTGGGTTTGAACTCACAATCCTCCTGCAACGGGGATTACAGGCATGTGCCACCATGCCCAGCCTATAAAGAATAAGGATTAATAAGCAATTGTTTTGTCCATTGTGCTCTGAGGTATAAATACAGTCCTTTAGCACTTCCGGTCTAGACCACATCAAAACGATTTTAGCACTTATTAAAATGTCAGTCATATTCTTAGCATTTAATATATGTTAACATTTAATATTATGTAGCTATCCCTCTTACTGCTCTCACTATGCAGATAACAAAAGTGAAGCCAGGCAAATGATAAGGGATTCAGATGTAGACAATCCCCCCCTCCTAGGATCAAGACCAGACCCTGTGCTCCTTGCTAGCCCAGCACTATCTGTCTCATCTCTCATCCTCTCAGGCTTTCTCCGCTCTCTGACTTTTCAAGGCCTGAGCATGATGCTTCCTAACACAGGGCCTTTGCTTGTACTGTTACCTGTGCCCGGAAAATTCCCTCCAATTTTTGCCTGCATACCACCCATCTTTCAGAACCATGAATCCCAGTCATAGAAAAATCTTTCCTGCCCTCCCTGGCCACAGCAAGCAAGTGAAGCCCATCATGGGTGACAGAGGTCCTCTCAAATATTTGTTGAATGAATAAACGAATGCATAGTGTTTGATGGTCTTCTTTGGAGCCCAGTGATATGGGGCAGAGAGGAAAGAGTGTAGGAGGTCAAAGGTGATCCCAGAAACCTTCCTGGATTGATATAGACAGAGAGGCTTGGGGACAAATGCCAGGAAATACCAGCCATCCACCTATCTCTTATGGTGATCACATAAACTGATGTGACGTTGGCATCTGACCAGACTTTGGTGGCTACTTGGCATTTCAGAAGATCACCAAACAGGAGCCCAGAGACCATGTGGTTCAGTACCCATAAGTAACTTATGGAAAAGGAAACTGAGGTCCAGAAAGGGAAAACCACATTGCTCACATCACATACAAAATAGGGGCAGGATATGGTCCAGGTCTCCCGAGTCCGGCACTGATGGGACTTGTGTCAAGGAGAAGATGCATCAGGACTTGTTCAGGCTCCGGCCCTCAGTGACCCAGGGAAGGGGCTGGACAGTGCCAGTGTGGGAGGCGGGAAGGAGGGCTGCATTCATTCAGGGGATCCGTAGGTACCTTTTCTCATGTCTAAACATTTCTTTCCGCAGCTGAACATGCAACACTTCATATTATTTGGGCACTGCCTGTGCCTCGTACATAGGTTTCTTTCTTCGATTTCACATTTTACTCTGACTTTGGGACACGACTCTGGAGAGGAGAAGATATGCTTCCTTGAGGCCTGGAAGTGGGTGTCTCTCCCCCTTCCCAGGCGCAGGGCACCTCTGCAGAGTTGGGGAAGCTTGATTCCCTTCTCCTGCCCCAGGAGGACAGTAACTCTCAGGGGGCTCAGGATTCTCACAACACTAGCCACATCCCCCACCTCGTGACTCATCACCTAATCCCTAAGCCCACTCCCAACCCTTCTCCCACCACCTGTATAAGGTTCCTGGGAGGAGAACATGCTCCTCTAGGAGGTTCCCCTAGGGGGCGCTGTAGCTCCTGCTAATTGAGATCTGCATTTGAGCATCTGGTGGCTGGGCTTCAACATTCTGTACAGCCTTTCCTAGGGCAGGCACCCTCTCTGAACCTTCCTTTCCTCATTTGCCTAGAGGGTCATTCCAAAGACGGATGCAACAAAGTTTGAAAAGCCATCATCCAGCTGCCTGGGACCATATAATAATGTATTGATGAAGTACTTACTATGCACCTGAACTTTTCTCTTTAATCCTCATTCCAAATACCTCGGTAAGTACTATTAATATTCACATCTAATAAGCAGGAATCTGAAGTATAGGGAGGCTATATAAACTCATCCAGGGTCACACGACTATTAAGGATGCAGGCAGGATTGGAACCTGTAGCATGTGGCTCCTGAGAACTCACTGCCAACCGCAGCTTTTCCAGTGCTCAGTGTATTTAGCTACTAATCCTGGAATCTTTGTATTTCAATATTGCAAGGGACTTTGGGAGATAATTCTTTACCACAAAGGCAAGGATCCTTTGTGGGTGTGAGTGGGGGAGTGGGGAAACTTATTTGGGGCTTCAGTGGAGAAATTTGGAAGTCAGTGCAGTGCTGCTAGGGAGTATGGTGTCCTCAAGGGAAAGTCCCTCTGGCTATCTAGTTCCTCAAGTACACTTTATGGGAGGGGGTCCAGGCACCTACAGGAAGAACCCCTCGGGATGCAGTGGGGGTGGGGGTGGGGAACTGCTACAGTCGGGTTCCCCCCTAGGAAGGGGGCTGAAATAAAGACTCCAAATACTGCCCCTCTGTCCCGCCCAGGGTCCAGGCTGAAGTGGGGAAAGCATTCCTGTGATGCTCTTCTTTGTCCTTTGTCCCCTTCAAATTCTCTCTGTACGTTAGAGGGACTGTGTCCCCAATACTTACTGAAAAATAACCCCTCAACCAGCCCAGGTTCCTGGACACCCCCCAGGAGGATGAACGGTACCAGGAATAGTAGAAGTCCCAAGAGTCCCATTTTAGGAAGTGCTGGCCGATGTCACCCAACTAGGAACGCTGCTCTCTGCGCTGCCTCTGAGCGTTGGCGGCCCAGCTCAGCCCAACACTCCAAGAAACAAGCCTGGAGGCCAGCCAGCCATACTCCCTCCCCCAGGCCTCCGATCCCAGGCTCTCTTCACCAGGGGGAGGGGTCACTCCCCCTGGACATTCCAGATGCCCCCAGCAGAAGGCGTGGACAGCTCCAGAACCTTCCTTATCTCAGGGGCAATGTGGAGGCTGAGGGTATTCTCATCTTTCTGATTTTGCTCTTCTCCCGGTACTTCTATTAGTGCTTTATTTTTCTCACGGTTTCTCTTTTTCTTCTCTGTGTCCCTTTGTGTTTTTTTCTTGCTCCTGTCCCCCCCCATCCCTTTTCAACGACTCTTTTTCACTGTCCGGGTCACTTCTCTTCTTTCCCCCTCTCTGTTTTCTTGGGTCCATTTTTTCTTTTCTTTGCAGTCCTGGGGGAGTAAACCCAGGGGTGCTTAACCACTGAGCTACATCCCCAGCCCTTGTCATTTTTTATTTTGGGAGGATCTTGCTTAATTGCCCAAGTTGGCCTAGAACCTGGGATCCTCCTGCCTCAGCCTCCCCACCCCCTTACACACCTGCCGTCTCCCACGTTGCTGGGATTACCGGTGTCTGCAGCTGTGCCCGCTTCCCCTTTGCTTCAGCTGTTGTCAAGGAGCAGAGATATCACTGTGAGTCAGTGTGGGGAGGAAAAATGAATTCCAAGTTGAACTGAGTCCACCGAGAAAGTCTGTCCAGGTCACGCGATTTTGAAAGCAGAAAAGAAGACCAGAGCTCCCAGAGACCTTCTAATGTCAGATGCAAATTAGAGAAAGAGATTCAAGAAAACCATGCACTTGTACCTTCAGAAAACCAGTGCAGCTGGAGGGCCTGAAGAATGTCCCACTGCTAGTTCCTGAACTGTCCCATTGACCTAAGTCTTGAAGCATCAGAAGAGAGCATGAGCAGGCACTGCAGAGGGGAAGGCCTTGCTCCATCCCAGCACGCTCTGGGCTGACCTTCAGTCTCACCTGCAGCTTCAGAGACAGTCGGTCCCAGAGAACATTTTGTCTTAATCTGTTTTTTAAATCGAGGTAGAATTCACATCATGTAAAATCGACCATGTCAAGGGGAAGAATCCAGTGACTTTTTTTTTTTTTAGCACACTCACAAAGTTGTGTGACCACTCTCTCCATTAATCCCAAAACATTTTTGTCACTTTAAATTAAAACCCTGGACCTGTGAGCAGTCATGCTGAGAGCCATAGCCAAGTAGGAATGATGCATGGCAATTTCCTTGTCAGCCTACCCCGTGTTGCTTAGAGGGAGGACTCTCCATTGTGGACATGGGCTTGCCTTGGACCAGGTCATTTGCAGTGACATTGCATGAATGTTTGAGAAAGGTGACCCTGCTCAAGGACCAGGGTGGATCCGGGTTTAGTGAGGATCCTGCTGGGAATAGGGCGTATCCTGCTGTCTCAGGCGCTGCTCCTGGAGTTCCCGTGGAGTTCTCGAGGGGTTCTGAGAGTATTTGGTATGCAGAGCCCGGTGGAGGGTGAATTTTCCCAGAATGTGCGTGTAGAGTGCTGGTGAGAGTTTCGGGAATAAAGAATTGCTGTTTGAATCTACAAGGCAGCGTGGTGGCCCGGTTATTTTATGCCCAGCCAGACTGCGGCACAGTCACTCCTTAGTTATCCCCCCTCCCTGCCTACTCCAACCCCTGGCAGCTCTTCCTATGTCTATAGATTAACCTATTCTGGATACTCTACATAATTGGACTCAACTGTCATTCTGGGCTTCTGTCCCACAGCGTAAGGTTTTCTAGGTTCATCCATGGGGTAGTGTGTATTGGTGTGGTGTTCCTGCTTGTGGCAAATAACACCCGGGGCACACCGAGCCACCCATTTCAAAATGTCAGAGTTCCTACTTCTCTCCTCAGGGTTTTCTCGGGCTCCTCAGGAGCTTCTTTGCTGCATGTGGAACTACCGGGTAGAGTGAGGGAACTGATGCTCCAGGAATCCAGTGGGAATCCGTGGATCAGCACCTCAGCTTCCCCAGCAATAGCGACAGATGAAACTTTGGAGGTATGTTCTGTGTGGTTCACAGGATTCCTGGGAAGGCATCTGGCAGGATTGAGTTACCGTTTCCCTCAGTGGCAACCAACTCATGATCGACTCCTCTCCTTCCCAACTTGTGCTTGTGACATCTCCTAGATCAGATATGTGCATCCCGCCCTTGTCCCAAGGTCAGTTTCTGGGGCATTCAAGTTAAGGCAATGTCCCTGGACCCTTGCCTTATGAGTTTTATTATTATTATTATTATTTTTAAGAAATGGAGGAGGATAACAATATCCCTGGAGCTCTCAACTCTCAAGGTTCTCATTGTCCCCACTTGCTCAGATGGGGTCACTGGAAGCTTCAACAACCTCGGTTTATTGTCTGCAAAGTGTAATATACCAGACAGATGTGAATCACTCCACCTCAGAGGCACAGGATGAAACCAAGCACTTTATTGAAAACAAATTGGGAGCTGCATAGGAGCAAACAGGAATTTCTGGAAGTTAGAGATGATGGGGTGAGGCAGAGAGATGGAATCCACGAGGAAGGAATTATGCATAAAAAGAGGTGGCCACAGAGGAAGAGGGAGGAGGCAGATCCTGGGGTTCACAGTTGGGAAGCTCTAAGGCCTTGCCGCCCTGAGCAGAGCGGAACAGTTGGGGGGCTGAGCTGAGCTGAGCGGGGAACAGTGGGGGTCAACCTGGAGCATCTCAGGTGCACAGAGCCTGGAGCTGGAGGCAAATCCTGGCGGTTGTCCCCATGCATCTTTATCCGTTCAGGAATCCAAGCCTGTTGAGGACATAGGTATAAAACGTAGCTGGCTTTGAACTTGAGGTTGTGTTTAACACCTTTCTACAGGAGGAGATCCACACTGGGCTTGCACTGGGAGCTGTCAGTTTCTTTCAAGGAACAATGAATGAGATTGGATTGAGGCAAAGACCTCTGATGAGAAAACCCATGGCAGGGAAGGACGGGCTGGTCAGCGTGACCGGTGCCAGGTGGGTGCTCTGTGGCCTTTCTAGTTGGTTTCTGAAATTGCACCACCTCTGTCCTTCCTTCAGGCTGCCTGAATCCCCTGGCATTTGCTGGCTTTGATTGGCCTCCGTGTCCCTCCCCACCCTCGGTTCCCAGGAAGCCCCAACTCCCCTCTGCAAGGTGCAGTCTTCTCTCCTGATTGGAGCAGGTTCTGTGGGCACTGGTCTGCCAAGGACACAGCTCCCTTGGAATGGATCAATCAACACCCGGACCTCCCGGCATGGCTCCAGTGACAAGGGGAAACGGGGCCCCAGGACTCACGTTTTTTGTTGGCAGGCATTTTGGCAGATGCTCTTGGTCTGGAAGTTGTTGTTGTTTCCCTGGCAGCCGCCATACACGAAGCCATAGCAGGTGTTATTGTTCTTACTGTACCACCAACGACGGAACAGAGCCATGCAGGGCCCGCTTTCTTTTGGCAGAGTGCAGATGTCTGCAGAGAGACCTCAGAGTTGAGAACTCAGCAGTGCTCAGCTTGGAATGAAACAGCTGCCATGTTCTCCTTCGCAACCACCCTGAATGACACTGGAACTGCTCCTTTTCCCTAACCCACTGTGGGAGCCGGCTCTGTGGACATATTACATGCATTTGCAAAGAGATCCCAGAACAGGTGCCCGAGTCCCCGGAGACAGGATTGTTGCAGACATAATTAGTTAAGATGATGTCATATTGGAGTAGGGTGGACCCTACTCCATATGATTGGCATCCTTATAAAAAGGGGTAGATCTGGACACAGGCACATGCACAGGAAAAAGACCACTGGAACATGAAGCAGAGATCAGAGTGATGTGTCTACAAACCAAGGAACACCAAAGATGGCCAGAAAAATAGAGGCATGGAGCAGAATTCTTCCCCACAATCCTGAGAAGGAATCAGCCCTGCTGATACTTGGCTTTGGCCTTCAAACCGGCAGAACTGTAAGGCAGTACTGTTGGTTAGGCCATCCACCCATGCTACCTTGTTTTAACAACCCTAGCCAAGAATACAGGTCCCAACCAAACTATGAATTCAATGAAGGCAAATCTTCACAGCTGAGCCATTAAGTCTTGTTTGTTTCTACCACCTAATAGCTCACTTCTCACCAGTTCCTTGAACTTAAGCCCCAGAATCTCACACCGGGGCTATTGAGCTATCCTCCAGTGGAGGCTATCCCTGCCCCCAGTCTTGGCTCCTCCAACCAATCCTTCATGCCAGGGTGAAGGAACTGATGGATCTGAAGTCCAAGCCAAGGTAAGACCTACCTTGACTTCATGACAAATTCTTCCCGTCACCCTTACAAGGCCCTTCATCCTCTGGCTCCCACTCCTGGCTCAGGCCTCTCCCCCTGCCTCAGGCCCCCTTGATCTACATGCTTCAGCCTCACTCAGCATACTAGGGTCCCTCCTGACTCCACTCTGTATCCCAGGTGCCTGCACCCGGTCGGCATCTCTTCACCTTGTTTCTGAATCTTGTGTGTACACCTATCATCTGTTCGTATCTTCAGGCTCATTCCTGACACAGTAAGTTTCTGGGCTGAACAGGGATTGAGTCTGATTGCATCTTGGAATTCCAGTGACTAGCAGGTGGCCTGGCACAGTTTAGAACTTTATGGAATGTTGGGGGTGGAACCAAATGCCTCCTGCCCTGAACTGTGTCCTTGGGCACTTTAGCCCTGTGTGCTGACACTTTAAGGGACAACGACAAGGCACAGTCCCTATGGCGTAGGGGTTCCCAGTCAAGAAAGACAAGTGAGTTAAGTCAGTAGGTGTTGGGTGGCTGCCATGTGCCTCCATGTTCCTGTGGCCTTCTTCCTGTGCGTGTGCCTATGTTCAGATCGACCCTTTTTATAAGGATGCCAATCATTGCTCTAAGCATTTCGGGAGCATCCATTTATTTGATCCTCAAAG